GCTGGACTATATGATGTAAGTCGTGCCAATCCAAAGCTGACAGTAAGCATTCTTGAACTCCTGCTCCAGCACATCAAAGTATTCCTTGATGTGAGAGCGGACATCTTTAATCCTGTTATCCTGAAGAAGGTGATCTCAATCCAGGGTGAAAATGCAGTTCTCATTGAGCCCATGGGAGATTTATTGGGGTCTTTGGGTGCCATAAAGACATACTATGAAGAGAACAGAGAAAGGATTACTACAGAGGATGATGATGATGAGGAAAATGCTGTATCTGTTCTCAATGAAGTATGCTCCATATTTGATCACTTAACTGAGAAACTTGCAGGATGTGGATTAGATGATCTTGGCTTGGACACCAACGGGGAATTTTCCAATTCTAGTGCAGTTGGACAGAAAAATTTATTTTCTGCTAAGATAATGGTAAGCGTCTTTGACTGCCTCATTGAACACACTTTCACTCACGGAGCAGAGACGTCAGAAGAGAAAATGCAGACTCTGATCTCCCTCTTCAAGTCTCAGAGGAAGATTGTCACCCTGGTCAAGGAGAGGAGTGGAAAACCAGCAAAGAAAGGTGAGAGCTCTAAAGGGAAAGGCCGACCAGCGACTAAACCCTCTGTGACGTTTAAGAGTAACCTGAGTTTACGGGCAACAGCAAAGATGCTAGAGGCCTCCCTTGACAACGTGGATAGTGCAGGCCCTAACTACTGTGAGTTGATTAAGGAAAATCATGAATTGCAGATGTATCTTCTGTTAGTCATAGAAGAGACTTTATCCTCAGTGAAGGGCCTGACCATCTCAGAGCGGGAGAGAATTGTACCTGAACTAAAAACAGTTGCTAAGGTCTTGTTGTTTGAATGCTCGGCGAACTTAGCATCTTCAGATTCATCGGATGAAAGGGAGGTGACTAGATTGCGGCAAAGTCTTCAAATACTATCCTCTCTTCTGACTATTTTCTGCAGATTCTATAAAGATAAATTGGAATCTATACTGAAAGAAGTGACTGGGAAAAATGATAATAAGGATTTGAATGGGAATCTATATAGAGTATCTAAGAAATGTCAAAAGATGTTGCTTAAAATTTTACACCATGAAGAAAGAGCCCCTTTGCTAAAAGATGGTTGTCTGATAGTTCATTTAATGTCAACAGTGACACAGGCAATGGAGCCTGAATGTGATGCAATAGCAGAAGTTCAGGACTGGGTTCTCCAGCTCTGTAAAGATCAGGCTTTGGACCATGGAGGGCTTGCAGATTCCATGGTTGGTCTGGCTTTTGTTCTGTCAAATCAGGTTAAAGCCAACCACACTCTAACAAGAGGCATTGCCAGGGAATTACACCATAAACTTGGTGATTTAGAACAAGATGTAGAAGTTGAAGAAGCTGGTAAATACAAGATTGTTACTGAGGAAACGGCATCAGCTGTTTTATCAACGTTGCTGGCCCATCTAGATGATTCTCTTAATCTCACTGAGATGGCACTTAACAAGACAAAAGCCTGTCTAGCCTCAGGAGCTGAATATGATGCTGACAAGATTGAGCGTCAGATTAGCATGAAATTTGTTCTGGTCATGCATGCAGTGCATGAAGTGATCCAGTCGGCCTTACCACTTGGGACAAATACTGATCATACCCTTAAGCTTGTTACTAAACTGTATAATGTACTATCATTGTATGTAAAATATTACCTGGATCTCTACAGGGTTAAGACTTATCCTCAGATTTCAGATAAATTTGAAAAGGTGGTCCACATGTCTGGACAACTGGTGACTGCTCCAGTCTACCCAACTATCACCTACATAGAAGGAGCACAAAGACAGATGGGAAAGAATAAAGAGGGAACTCTGAAAGCAAGAGCCATAAAGGAGTATAAACTTATACCTGCCCTGATCTTTTCCATTGAGCAATATGAGAAGCACCTCATTACTCTCTCACGCAAGTCTAAGGTCAATCTGATGCAGGCGATGAAGCTTAGCACGTCGAGGGATTTCAGGATTGTGCCAGCCGCAATCATGGAAGCACTGAAGAATGATGACGAAGACCCCAACGACGAGACAGAAGTAGAAATCAACGGCAATAATGCTGATGAGAATGAAAACAATGCTGATAGGTCAAGTGACAATGAAAGGCATTCGGGATCAGATGATGAGGATAATACCCAGATGGAAACAGAGAATTTGCCTACCACGAAAAAAGACTCGAAGGGAGCCAAAAAGAAGAGGTCAAGTAGTGGAAGTGAGGAAGAAAGGGACGAAAATGACTCTAATTCACAGAACGTTGGGAAAAAACCACAGGCCAAGAAAAAGAAGTTACTGATCAGCAAAAAAATAATGGGTAAAGCATAATTGTATTTCCGGGATCTTTAGGCATTAAGATAGTGTAAGTTGGCTGACAGTTTCACAAAATAGTATGTGATTTCACTGACAGGTAGATAAGATAGTATGTTTTTCTTGTAATGATTGATTTTAAGAATTTATAATTTTCCTACATTCCAATAAGGAAACAGATCTTTAAAGTGTTTTCATTACATTTTCACTTGCTAAAATTAGTCAATATAGTGTTTATTTTTTATAATGGTAGTGTTGAAAGAAAATTTTATATATACTCTGACATCAGGAGCAAAACATTTTTGTATATTTCTAATAATGATATACCAGTTTGAAGTCTTTTAAATACCCTCATGTTTATTAGTTTTCCCGGAAGAAGTAAAAGAGTAGTCTAGCTTGCAAATGACCATACACAATGCCTCTCCCCCCAACACACACACATCATCGAAGGTTAAACTTAGAACCACAGAATTAAAGGATTTTTTCACATCAGTAAAGAAGTATATGATGAAACTTAAGTGCTTGAAAATTACCTCTTGGCAATAAATTCACTATTTCATTTAAAGCCAGGCAGACGCGCGTGCGCGCGCACACACACACACACACACACACACACACACACAACACACACACACACACACACACACACACACACACACACACACACACACACACACACACACACACACACACACACACACACACACACACACACACACACACACACACACACTCACACACAGCACACACACACACACATCCGATGGTGTGATGGCTGAGATAGCAACCACCCCTTGTGATTACCTATAGCTTAACCAAACAAGGGATGACCGAGTGGAGGCAGAATGATTGGTTGCCTCGACTGTCGAAGGAACTGAAATGGCAGAAGGTGGAAGTGGCCGCTCCTTCAGAGGTGAGTAGGCCTAGCAATGGCACGATTAGGATTTCACCTATTGTTATTGTGGTCGCAGTAACTGTCATTTTTTTCCAAATGGATAGCCTAAGTCATCTCCAATAGACCAGCTTTCAGTAGTAGAAGGAGCTTCTTCTTCTTCTTTCTTGTTATAGGGTTTAGACTATGTTGTCTATATCCCCTGGATCCTCTTCTTTTGTTCTTGAAGTTTCTTATATTATGTTGATTAACTTGGTTCTTTGTAGGAAGATCTTAGTGTGTCTCAGTATGTAATCCTGAAATCGAAGAGCGAGTGGTAACTGTGCTGTCTCCTTGTATCTATTGGGGAGAGCACCTTGGCTAAATGCACTTGTACTATGGTATGTTAGACAACTAGGAAATGGAACATAAAATGGAGACGATTGCACAGGAATGGCAGCTGTATGGATACATAAATAAAAGATCCAGTTGATCCCAAAGTATATTTTATATGTGTTACTTGAAAGAAAAAAAAATATATATAAATGATAAAGACGATAGCAATGAAAAAATTAAGACGATGATTTTTATTGTTATTATCACTATCATTATCATTATTTTTTTTCATTGTTATTATTGTTGTTATTATGTTTATTACTACTATTGTCAATATCATTATCATCATAATCGTCATCCTCATTCTTATTGTTATTGGTATTATCACTATCACTGTCATTTCTATTATCATTATTATTATTTTAATCAAAAACATTATCATTATTATTATTGTTGTTGCTTTAGTCATTATTACTATTATCATCATAATCGTTATCATTATCACAGCTATAATAACCATGACTAATATTATCATTGTCATTATTGATAAATCGTCATCATCATTTTATTTATTCCTTAAGCATCATAGTTCTTATAATGTTACTTGTAAATACTATTATCATAATTACAATTAGATACTATCATCATTATCGTAGGTACTAGCTTTATCGCAATAGTTCACGTTAATAATGTTATCAGTATTGTTGTGTATTAATAGTGCTCTCAGTATTGAGATCAGCATTAGTTTTAATAGTATCATTTTACATTATTATCGTTATTTTCCCATTTTTTAGGTAGTTGAAACACGTTTGCATTTCTGTGTATTTATTAATTTATTGAGATAACTTTTGTTAGTTAATGTGTAACTTGGAATTAAATTATTCTTTATGATTATTGTGTGGATGTGTCTACTAGTATCATCTATGTATGTGTGTATCAATATATATATATATATAATATATATATATATATATATATATATATATATATATATATATAGAGAGAGAGAGAGAGAGAGAGAGAGAGAGAGAGAGAGAGAGAGAGAGAGAGAGAGAGAGAGAGAGAGAGAGAGATGAATATTAATATTAAATTAAAATGTAATGAACATCTAAAGACAACTGAAAATAATATTTATAGGAGTAAGTATACCTTGCAATTCCTAGTTTATTCCAAGTCTTAACAATCCACATATTTGGAATTTTAGATCTAGTAATATTCATTCAATAAATGAGTTCGTGTGAGTTTTTATGTGATATTGGCTGTCACGCACCCATACACTCACATGCACGCACGCACGCACACACACACACACACACACACACACCACACACACACACACACACACACACACACACACACACACACACACACACACACACACACACACACACACACGCACACACGACAGACACACACACGTCGCACACCGCCGTCCGTCTGCGCGTGGACACTAGCACGTCGGGCGCCCTCAGTCCACCGGCCACACCCTGTTGGTGGCGTTCTCGACCGAGTCCACGTAGCTGGGGTCGTCCAAGTCCATGAGCGGCTCGTGGACGTGCTGCGCGAAGGCCACCGTCCAGAAGATGAGGTTCAGGAGGATGTAGACGAGGGTGGTGACGATGTTGCCCAGCTTGTCCACCACGATGGGCCAAAAGTTGGGGTTGCGGTCGCCCTTCGCCTCCGGCCTCTGCATGGCCTTCCACAGCAGCCTGGCCTTCATGACCACCGGCAGGAGGTAGTTCCTGCTGAACTTCTTCTCTCGCTTCTTGTGGCCGTGGCGGTGGTGGCGACGGCGGCGACGGCGGCGGCGGCGGCGGGTGCCTTCGATGCCCTCGTCGTCCCTGGCGATGGCCAACGTCTCCGGGACCGACTGAGGCTCGTCGGAGTCGCTGAAGCGTCTGACGGCGTCGGAGATCCCTGGCGTGGGCGTGGGCGTGATCTCGCGGTAGAAGTTGGCGGCTCGCTGAAGCTTCTCGTGCAGGTCCTCGATCTCGTGGTCGTACACGTGCATGTACTCGACCGCCGTGTGCACGACGATCACCACGAACGTGTACGTGATGGAGCCGAAGAACCAGATGTCGATGAGCTTGAAGTAGGACGTCTTGGGCAGCATGTCCGTCGTCTGCGAGAAGAGCTGCGTCAGCACGAGCAGCACCGTCAGGGACACCATGATGCGGTTGGTGAAGTCGTACCACTTGAAGAAGAAGGTGCCGTACCCGATGAGGCTGATGATGGTGGTGGGCACGAACATGGTCAGGATCTGGGAGCCGTAGAGGTGCTGCATCTCCACAATGATCTACGAGAGGAGATGCGAAGGAATATAACAGAAAGACGTTGAGCATTTTTTACAACAATAACAAAAATCAAACCAATGATTCACTCAAACAATAAATCAACCGAATTCATAAATATTTCCACACGAACTCGCTTCACTGTCGCTATATTATTGCTCCACAGATAACTACCCAATTACCTGTTGTCCCGAATAAGGTGCCTGACTGTTGTACGTGACCATTCTCATTCTGCCGATGAAGAACTCGTTGAGCTTGTCCTTGTGGTCGTACGTGACACCCGGGCCGTATCTGAGGCAAAAATATGTAAATATTGAAGTAACGTTCGGTTCAGTAGCAAAAGAAAATAAAGGAAAAAGAAAAAAGAAAGGAAAAAAAGAACATATAATCCATTCTCGCCTACAAAGATACCTCGATGTAAATAACTAGTCTACAAACTAAAGTAAAAATTCACTATTCATCACATAGGTTTACTGAAACACAAGACATTAGTTTCGAAATCCGTTCAGATTTTCCTCTCACACCTGAAGAGGAATTCTATAAGGATTTAGAAATCGTCTCACCTGCTAAGAAACATTCTTTATAGTTATTTTTTAGAGTGTGATAGACCTCCCCGTTCCAAGGAGTAAGAGAGAGAGAGAGAGAGAGAGAGAGAGAGAGAGAGAGAGAGAGAGAGAGAGAGAGAGAGAGAGAGAGAGAGAGAGAGAGAGAGAGAGAGAGAGAGAGAGAGAGAGAGAGAGAGAGAGAGAGAGAGAGAGAGAGAGAGAGAGAGAGAGAGAGAGAGAGAGAGAGAGAGAGAGTGTGTGTGTGAGTGTCTAAATGATCCAAAGAAAGAAAGAAAAATAGAAAAATAACCATCCATACCCCAAAACTTCAACTCAAATCCAGATCATTCAGAATTCTAACAACACTCCCGCAACAGAACGTTTTTATTTTCCTTACCTAATCAGCTTCACATAAGGTTTGTTGTTCCGGTTAACTCGAAAGATCATCTTGCAGAAATCGGTGTTGAAAGGGTAGTAAAAGAAGTTAAAAGTACAGGCGAACGTGGCTGTGTATTTTCGAGAAATGCGGATAAAGCTGTATCTCCCATCGTAGATCATTGCTGTGTGGATAAGAGGGAGGATTAATGTAAAGACTTTTAAGTTATGAGAGAATGTAAATCAGAATTTATTATCCAAAGTGGAGGTTTATGTGGTATTGGTTAGAGAAATTATAATTGAGTTGTCATCAACCTTTTAAAAGATAACTAAATTCACATTTAAATAAAAAAAAGTTTTCACCAAATTAATAATAGTCGTTTCAACCATGTATTCATTTCAACCAAAAATATTAACCATCGCCAGACTGGAAATCATAAAATAAACAAACTTACCAAACACGAACTTTCATATTAACCAAAATTCTTAATCATCACTATCTCCACCATACACTTACTACAAAAAATAAATTCAACCCTTTTACACTCACCTTCCCTCGACATTTCCACATTATCCGGTTCTTTGGCGCCAGTCCTCATAATCGTAATCTTGGAATTCGAATCGACTCGTGATTTTGCGTTGTTCTCGGCGTTGAGAAAATCTACGGCGGGAACCCACATCTCACGCGCAGCTTCCTCCAGGACGAGATTCAGCTGCCTGTCGGACTTGAGGTTTAAGTAGTGTAGTCTCACGTCCTTCCATATCATGCGGATCTGGTTGGATTTGGGGAGAAATGTGGAATTAATGGTGATAGTCGTAGTGATATAGATGAGGAGGAGGATGGATTAATAGACTTGGTGATGAGCATATGTCCTTTCCATTGTTATCATCATTGCTATTTATAAGATTAAAATTATTGTCATTCCTATCAGCATTAGCATCACTGATATGATTATCATCGAAAATAATATTACAGCTATTATTACTATTATCAAAGCTATCGATAATAACAGTATACTGCTATTAACCCTGTAAATATATTCCTTTATTCACAACCAGTAAAGAAAATTACTTGAATGGCGTGTCTGCCTCATTGTATATATAAAAAACTGAACAAAGTTTTTTTATCCATTTACTGTGTGACGAGGTCTAGTCAAAGTTTAGAGGCATCTCCATCAACCTAAACCTTCTTTAAAAGATTCAACAACACAATTTGTTTCTTAAACAATCTAATCCTACCACATATCAATAAACCTCTTGCAACCAAAACCCCACATAAAGTACTATCACAATAACAGGGTCTCACTTCTTATATATCCTTACTGAACACTTCCCGGCCATTCTCACGACGGTTGAGAGTGTGTGCACCGACTAACCTGAAGCTCGACGATAAATCTGCTGTTAATAGCGTCGATTTCCTTGAAGGAGTCTATGGTGATGTTTAGGATGACGGGAAGCGGTCCTTCAGACAGGGGGGCCTCCGGGGGTAGAGACGGCTGCGGGAGAGGAGGCAAAAGGAAATGATTGGATCTGTTGGATAATGGTAGACGGAGAGGGGGATGTGTGGGTGGGTAGATAGGTAGGTAGGTAAATAAGTAGGTAAGTAAATAAGTAAGTAGGTGGATAAGATAGATAATAAAGATCCGTGAATACTGGCAAATAGATAGATAAATAGATATGGATAGATAGATATTTATGATGGAAACATATAATAACATTATAGATAAATATGTAAATGATAAATACATAGATAAAATAATATACAGATAGATAAATAGAAAAATAGATCTGTGAATAATAGCGCAGAGAGACAAATATTTTGATAAATAGATATTTAGATAGATATATATTGATATTTAGAGAGATAATCTAACCCTTTCGTCTCTACAGTTCAAGCCTTATTCACAGGTCTGTTATTTCTGTTCCTAATGTAAAAACAGTGCATCCTTTGATGAAAATAAACCAAATAAACCATTATATCAGATCTCCCGTAACCAGGCATTAAATCCTCAAGTAACAACACCACCTGATACCACAGCACCGTCACCTACCTGGTACCCCTCAGGCCTAAGAACCAGCGTGCAGTTTAGTTCATCACTTTTGTCGGTGCATTGAGCCCGCCGGTCGCACACTTCATGCAGGGGTATGCAGTTTCCGTTGTTGCAAGTGAATTCGTCGCTCTCGCACTGTGTCAATGCAAGGGAGATGGCCTGGGAAGGGAGGAAAAGGGTGTGTTGTTAGTGGTGTGGTGTTTGGGTTGGGTTGAGTTTTGCTTTTTTTGTGCCTGTGTCTGTTTTGTTTTTTTTTTTTTTTCTTGGTATATGTCTATATTTGTTTCGATCTCTCTCTGGCTCTCTTTTTTCCTTCCTTGTCTATATTTTCTCCTCTCTCTATCTCTCCTTCTCTCTCCTTCCCACCTTCCTTCATTCCTTCCATCCCTTCCTTCCTTCTCCTTCCTTCCCTCTCTCTCCTTCTTTAAAACAAAGCCACCCAACTTTCCTAGGAACCCTCAGCGCCTCACCGTGCCCGGAGGTTTCCCGCAGAAGCCGTGAGAGAAGATCCACATGTGACGTCCGATCGGAAAGTCTATGCTACCCGACTCCTCCATGACGGCAAAGGTATCCGGCAGAAGGATGTTCTCGAGGCGCCACTCACCCGTCGACGAGTAGTAGACCTGAGGGGGACGAGGCGGTGAGGGAAGGGGGTGAAAGGAGGTGAGGGAGGGGGCGAGGGAGAGTATGAGAAAGGAGGGTGAGATGGTTAGGGGCGAGGGAGAGGTGAGAAGAGGGTGTGAGATGGTTAGGGGGCGAGGGAGAGGTATGGTGAGGTAATGAAGGAGGGGGGCGAAGTGGTGAGGTGGTATGGGAAGAGGATGGTGAGGGGGTGAGCAAGTGAGGGAAGGAATGAGGGAGAGGATAAGGGATAGAGGGAGCGAGGGTGAAAGGAGGTAAGGGAAGGTAAAGGGGACGCAAGCGGTGAGGGAGCCGGGGTTGAGGCGATGAAGGATTTTGATGTATTTTTTTATTATGGTTATATTGATGATGACCATAAATAACACAAACGAAAATAACAGAAAAAGTATAAAAGAAAAAAAAAAAATATTTGGATCAAATTTTTTAGCATTTAATAGGATCTGCATAACCAGTGACAGAATTAGCAGAAGGTGACCAGGCAACAGAACCGCATAAAGCAGGGGAACTAGCTACAGGCAAAACACATGCGCAGAGCATTCCACTTAATTCATAAATCAGCTTAAAAATTTTGCTGGAAACATTAGAAATCAGTATTTTAAACACCCAGGAATAAGGCACACGTAACTGCGCAGAAGAAGAGGTACAGTTTCATCCACTCTATAATTGCAGATTGACGATCGTTTAGGATCATACGACAACACGAGTTCGAATCAGCAAGGTGTATATCCAGTAATATTTCTATTTATCCAGCACCCTATGACGTATGATGACGTAGTAATGACGGAGTCGGTAAGGGGTGCGGTTAGTTTATGACGTCACATAGTCCCACTCCCAAATCCTTAAGTATGGCTATACAAATTTTGACTAGCGGTCTATATATCAATTTCTGTTTAACAAAAACAAAGTAGCCAAATAGGATTTCAACGGTCTCTACAAATACACTTCCAAACAAGAAAACAGTTGTGACATCACAGTTTCTGAGCCAATCATGACTCGAACACTCTCAGCCAATCACAGCGCAGTAAGCATGAATCGGTTCTCGCAACAACTCTGGTTCGAATCCCTATTCGAATCCCCAGTGACAGAAAACAGACATCTTTTTTCATATTCTTTCTACGTTTATAAACTGAAAGCAAATGTTGACTATTTTATTTATTCATCTTTTTTTTCTCTACATTCTACGATAGAAAGTGTCGTCTCGATTTTGTTTTATATATATATATATATATATATATATATATATATATATATATATATATATATATATATATATATATATATATATATATATATCCTATAAATGAAAATACGAAAATGGAAGAGATACACTGACCTGGAAGAGTGTACCCTAAATATGAGCGCTTTCTGTTTTAACCTTAATCTAAAGAAAATGGCGGCGGGTAACAGCTGTGACCTAATATTAAAAGGTAAAGCATGGAATTGGAGTTATGAAACGTACTTTGATTTTTTTCCAGTTTTTATTTCACTTTTATCTTTTATTTGATTTTCCATTCATAAAAGTGCTGTTAAATGAAACGTGTGGTATTAGAGAAAAAACAAAAATACACGTTTTCAATAACCTAAAGTAGGTACTGCACACTCACAACGATGAATTTAATTTAAATGAAGATTAATGATGGACTTTTTTCGAACGTTTTAAAATTAACAAATTAGAGAAAGAGTCCACCATTAACCTTGTTCCATTTAATTACCTCAGTTATTAGATTTCTGACCATTTGCCTCACACGCGAAAAGTGAAGTGAAAAAAAACAATAAAAAGAAAATGCAAATTAAGATGACTAACGAAAACAAGGATAGATAAGGTGAAATCTGACAAAAAGAAAAAAAAGGAAAAGAAAATGATGAAGAAAAGGCTCTTATAAAATTAGAAATAAGGAAAAATCTTCACTTTGAAAAGGGAAAAAAAGAAAAAAAAGCAATTTAGAAAATGGAAAACAATCCTCAAAGACTAGAACTATGACCTGTAATAACCCGCTTTTAGTAAAAAAAAAAAAAAAAAAAAAAAAAAAAAAAAAAAAAAAAAATCTCAAACTGACCTGTGACCTGTAATACCCTCTAAAATAGGGCTTGTTATTCTTCACTCCGGTGAGGATAAGGCGATCGTCGTACAGGTTGGAGTCGCAAATTCCCCTGAAGAGGAGACAGGTATATAAATCTCTCTGTCTGTTTATTTGTCTGTCTGTATTGATGTAGATGGGTAGGTAAGTTGGTAGTGTAGGTAAGGGATATCTGTTTCTGCTTGATATCTGCTGTGTGTGTGTGAGTGTGTGTGTGTGTGTGTGTGTGTGTGTGTGTGTGTGTGTGTGTGTGTGTGTGTGTGTGTGTGTGTGTGTGTGTGTGTGTGTATGTGTGTGTGTGTGTGTGTGTGTGCGTGCGCGTGTGTGCGCGCGCTCATTCCTAAATGTAGAAGTGAAATAAGTATCTAAATCCCTCCCTCCCATCTCTCTCTCTCTCTCTCTCTCTCTCTCTTCTCTCTCTCTCTCTCTCTCTCTCTCTCTCTCTCTCTCTCTCTCCCTCTCCCACACTCTCCTCTTCCTCACTCCTCCTCCTCCCTCCTCCCACACCTCCTCTTCCTCACTTTCCTCCCTTCCTCACTCTCCTCTTCCTCACTTCCTCCTCTCCCTCCTCACCTCCTCCCCAACCACTCTCACCTGAACCTCAAGTAATTCGGCACGACTAAGCGGCAGACGGGGCAGTACTTGAAGGACTTCCTGCAGGAGTTGTCGGTCCATGCGCCGTGGCTCACAGTGCCCTTCATGACGGCGCAGTTCTCGATGCGGCCGCCGTTGGGTTGGTTGTCGTCCCAGTTCTCGTAGGTGAGGTTAGAGGGGTTCCTTGCGTCACGGTCTGGAAGAAGAAGAGGGGGGGAGGGAGGGAGGGAGAGGAAGGGAGGGAGGAGGGAGGGGGAGAGAAAGAGGGAGGGAGAGACGGGGGAGGGAAAGGGAGAGAGGAGGGAGAGAGGGAGAGAGGAGAGAGAGAGAGAGGGGAGGAGAGAAGGAGAGAGAGAGAGAGAGAGGAGAGGAGAGATAGATAATTCCGCTAATAATGATAGTAATCATAAGAATAGTACTGGTAATACCAAAAAAATTAATGATCATAATAACAATAATGATAATGATAACGACAATAATAATAAAAAAATGATAATGATAACGATAATAATTATAACAATAATAACAACAATAATGATAATTGTAATGATGGTAATGATAACAGTAATAACAGGACCCATTTAAGACTGGGTATGATTTCCTGACTGCTGACCGGGGCTGGAGACTTATCTTGTGTATCTTCTCATTTACGAAGACATCATTACTTAGTGAAATAATGTGTAGAGAATTTTCATTGTTTGATTCCTAAATTTTCCCAAATGATGACTCCCATATCATGATGATGTAATCGTAAATAATATAATCAATTTAATATTACAAATTTTATACTCAGAAAAAGAAGCAAATAATGTGTCCTTTATTAATGAATAAGTCTACTGATGACATCATGCAGCATTATTTCAACGCTGCGCATAATTCGTTAATCGTTGACCGCTTATCAAAATTGATATTTGCTATGATTGTTTTTATTTTTCTCTGAAGGAATCCCTGGTCCGCAAAATAAAGGTTACATGTCATCTATATATTTCATACGACCACGGGTTTGAGCTTTATAAAATAGTGAAAGGAGTGAAAACTGGCCCATTCCGGTATTTTGCACACTCGCATGGATTCCAGGAAATGTTGGTGTTTTTAATGGATTTTACACAAAACGTCGAATAGGGCATAGATTAACAAAGTGTAGGGTATGTGGTAATGATAAAGGACACATTTTAAATGGGATAAAATGCCTTGGCAATATTGAGAACTGCCGCAAAGCCATATTTTGCTTGCGGGATTGGCAACAAACTTCAAATTTTCCCTCCAAATGTCTTTAAACGCACAACATCTGCCGTAGAATCCTAGATTTTGTCATATTTCTTCCCAAAATGGACAATGACATTCGTTTGTTTAACTGGCAGGGAGAAAAACGGAAAGATTTATACCAAGATTTGGTCAGCTCTCTGGGATTATACCCAGCCCCTATGGAACAATAATTTCAGCAAAAAGAGGTATTCCTCTCTCCCTCTCTCACTCTCCTCCTTCTACCTTCTCCCATTTCCCATCTCCTTTACCCCTCTGCGTACCCCTTCTCACTCCCAAATCTTTATTAAATTCACTCCTCGCTTTTATAATTTTCAACCTCATTCCACTTCCCTTTTCCTTCCTCGTTCAACTCCCCACTTCCCTCGCTCCCTTTTCCCCTTCCCTCCATTTCCCATCCCCCTTTTATCTGAGCCAACTCTCCCTTTCTCCTTCTACATCCTCGTTTCCCTATTCCCAACTTCCTTTTCTCTTCAAAACGTCTTTCCCTCCCTCTACCTCCCTTCCTACTTAACCTTCCCCCTCGGTTAGTCTTGTAAATGATAAATGTGTCTAATTACTTCAAAACAATGTACTTGCTTCGAGGAACGATAGAAATAAACATGATGATAATTATAATAAGATATAACAACAATAAGTATAATTGCAACAACAATAACTAATGACAACAATATTGTTAATTGCAATGTTAAATAATAGTTTTAGAAGGATTCTTATAGATTCTTAATATGATGCGTGCATAATTGTATGAAATCATTTAACCAATTTTACACCAAATTGATATGACTTCAAGTCCGCAGTCACAGGAAATTTGATTCCAGGCATATAATACTTACCGTAAAGCATTTAGTAATCGTCCGCAATGATATTATTATAATTATATATATATAATTATTTGATTACTAGTGATGACTCGCAGCAATTTAAGAAAGTTGATGTTGACCGGCTTCAGGTTCAGTGCCACAAGTTTAACCTCTCTC